TTTGAGCTATAAGAGTGGTATAAGAAAAAGTTATATTCGTAGTACTAGTAGTAGTAGTAGTAGTAGTAGTAGTAGTAGTAGTAGTAGTAGTAGTAGTAGTATCGATTTGTGAAGATCAATGCTTGTGGTAAGAGGCGAAAAAGTTATATTTGTGGTAGTAGTAGTAGTAGTAGTAGTAGTAGTAGTAGTAGTAGTAGTTGTTGTTGTAGTAGTATCGATTTGTGAAGATCCATGCTTGTGGTAAGAGGCGAAAAAGTTATATTTGTGATAGTGGTAGTAAAAAGTGGTAGTAGTAGTAGCAGCAGCAGCAGTAGTAGCAGCAGTAGTAGTAGTAGCAGCAGCAACAGCAACAGCATTAGTAGTTGTAGTAGTAGCAGCAGCAGCAGTAGTAGAAGTAGTAGTAGCAGCAGCAGTAGAAGTAGTAGCAGCAGTAGTAGTAGTAGTAGTAGTAGTAGTAGTAGTAGTGGTAGTAGTAGTAGTAGTAGTAGTATCGATTTGTGAAGATCCATGCTTGTGGTAAGAGGCGACTGTGCTTGATGTAAGAGTGTAAGATGCGACTACCGGTATCGGCTGGTCTGGCTCGCTGACTCGGTTGATGCATGTCATCGTATCCGAGTCGCGTGGATCGTAGAGCTGGAATATTGCTGAGTGCGGCGTTAAACAACAAACTACTAGTAGCAGTTGTAGAAGTAGTGGCAGCAATGGTAGCAGCAGTTGCAGTGGTTATAACAGTAGCGACAGTAGTGGTTGCAGCAGAAGCGGTAGTAGTAGTTGTAGCAGTAGCGGTTGTAGTAGCAGTAGCATCACTAGTAGTCGTTGTAATAGCAGTAGCAGCAATAGCAGTGTTAGTAGTGGCTGTAGTAACAGAAGCAGTAGCGGCAGTAATGGTTGTAGTAGCAAAGGCAGCAATAGTAGCGGTAGTAGTGGTTGTAGTGACAGTAGAAGTAATAGTAGTTGTTGTAGTAGCAGTAGCAGCAATAGTGGTTGAAATCAGTAAGCCTGCAGTATCTATTCCAACTCTTGTGCCTATTATGGATCATCCATTCACGTATATCACAACAGAAAAATCTTCAAAACACCCTCAGATTCAGTAATAGGCCTTGAAGTAACCTGGCGCAATATTTTCTCTCATATTGCACAGTTTTCCCATAATACACAAAAATACAATATTTCTGTCACAATAAAGGGATGCAGTGCTTGCCACATTCATCCCAATTAGTTCTACAATACTGCATCAGTGAATGGCGCCAACATGCGCTCATGGGAATTCGGGGAAACTTTCCTTTCCAGTTTCCTTTGCCCACGAACGACATGATGAAATGGCGCGGTGTTAATCGGATTTCCAGGAGCTGGAAAAATCATTGAATCTAAACTGATTGATAGACTGTAATTACAATATGGTGTGAGAAGTTTAACCTTATCCTGTAATTGTACTGCCACTGGATGGATTCTTTTATAGTAGCAGATGGCTGGTTGGAGTAGTGGAAGTTAGTGTGGAGGTACGACGCTTTTAACAGTAACCAAGCAATATCGCGCCGGGGAACTCCAGAAACTGGCTTCTCAAATTGTACCCACATGGATTCTCAAAAGCTCAAAGAATTTGCTTGACTTAGGCGGTCTTCGAAATACACCAAGTTCAATTCTGTCAAAACTATTTTTCAACTTGGCACACCACTATCCCACATGACAAGCATAAGGCAAAACTTCCTTCATTAATCCATGGGGCTTTTGTAACGAAACGTGCTGGCCGTAGATACAGTTACCTATCTATCTTCAGAAGTGGAGGGCAATTTGTCAAATCTGAAAGCAAATTCTGAAATGCTGGGCAGGATACGCTCACCATTTCGCGAACACCTGGTATCATCTCTGTTTGATATTGATTCATAAATACATGCTCATGATATAATCGGGCTGTACAATCGACTCGAGGTTTCTTATGAATATGGAAAGGGTTCTGTCACTTGTATTTACCCTCGGCCCGATTAGAGTAGTGGTGGTGAGAGTAGCAGTTCTTGAAGTAGAAGCAGAAAAGCAGATGAAGATGTCGTTGCAGTCGTTGTGAGCAGCAGCGACAGCAGTCGAAGTGGTAGCGGTTCTGTTGGTAGAGGTGTCAGTAGAATCAGTAGATTGTAGTGTCTATGGTTGGAAATGTTGGCAGTATAATAGGACACGTTCTGTTTGCATTTATACATGTGGTGGGTGCAGATATAGTTGTAATAGTAGTAGTAGTAATAGTAGTATTAATAGTGGAAGAAGAAATAGTAGTAGTAGCAGCTATAGTTATAATAGTATCAGTAGTATCAGTAGTAGTAGTAGTAGTAATAGTAGTGGTAGTAATAGTAGTAGAAGAAGTTGTTGAAGTAGTAATAGTTGTGTTAGTAGTAGTTATAGTTGCACAAGTAGAGGTAGCAGTAGCAGTAATAATAGTAATAGTAGTAGAAGGAGTTGTTGAAGTAGTAATAGTAGTGTTAGTAGTAGTTATAGTTGCACAAGTAGAAGTAGCAGTAGCAGTAATAATAGTAATAGTAGCAGAGGCATTGTAGTGGTAGCAACAGTAGTAGTAGTAACAGTTGTAGTAGCAGTCGTAGTAGTAGAAGTTGTTGAAATGGTAGTAGTGGTGGTAGTAATGGTGGTGGTGGTAGTAGTAGTAGTAGTAGTAGTAGTAGTAGTAGTAGTAGTAGTAGTAGTAGTAGTAGCAGCAGTAGTAGCGGTAGCACTACTACTAGTAGTAACAGTTGTAGTAGTAGTCGTTGTAGTAGAAGTTGTTGAAATGGTAGTAGTGGTGGTAGTAGTAGTTGTAGTAGTAGTTATAGTGGTGGTAGTAGTAGTCGTAGCAGTCATCGTCGAAGTGGAAGAAGTATGAGTTGTAGTAGTAGTAGTAGTAGTGGTAGTACCAGTAGGTATAGAGTAGTAGCAGGGGCAGAAGTAGCCGTAGTGGTAGTAGTAGTAGTTGTTGTTTGATAAGGGTATTCATAGTTTAAAAGATTTATTTCGAATTAAAGGTACCTTACTTGATTACAACAGAGTAATGCTAAATATCCCTAAATCATGGGAAAAGTTAGTAAATGGCAGATCGTGTATCACGGCAGATTTATACATAAATAACTTTTTGAGAGACTTGTTGATACGCACAAAGAGATCCAGAGTATTTAACGCATAGCTGCAACAAACTTACCTCTGATGTGTGATAAATGGGAAACTGAACTTAATCAAAGCATATTATGGAATAATGTTTTCACTAACTGTCAAATGTGTACCAATGAGATTAAACTGATAAATTTCAAGTACAGGTTCGTAAATAGAGCTAAAATGAATGATTGAAAATGAAGTTAATGGACGATGATATATGCTAAATTACTGGGCTCGATCGTAGCGCCACCAGTGGCTATTACGAGTTATGTCCATTTTATGCCCCCCCCCCCTTTTGACCAATCAGATTCCACCTCTTACATCACTGCATGTGCTTCAAACAAAATGGCGGCGCCCAGTGGAAACGATCTGATCGATAATCAACATCTATATTGTAATAAAACAGGTCTTACTTCATGAAGTGCATCAAATCACTTGAGCACCTTGATTAAAAACATGAAACGATTTGGAAAATGTCTGCTGACGCTAAGTTGATGGTACACATACCTTGCAAATCCTGCAATCGACCGAAATCTGCACGGCCGTTTACGAAACGGACGCCGATTTCGTCACGCGATTTTGATTGAACTATGTATAGACTCGTTAGTCCAGCCAAATTATAACTCCATAATTCCAGCCTAGTTCGGCAAGGGTGAAAATTGGACTTTCATAGTCAGTTAACTCCCTTGCCTCGGGAAGATGGTTCATAGAATACACAAGAAAACACCTCATAACACTGTTTTGTCGAACGAGACTGAAGGTACCAAGCTACTGTGCATGGTGAAGGGCGGTGGCTACCCTATGGCCTACGGTGCCAGAACTTGCTGTACTCATCCTGTAGCTGCCGGAATCCACTGATTGCTGTTTCAAATCTCAGATTCGCATCAGTAATGTACTGCAAACACCAAGCCCTGTCCTTGATTTCGCATGATGGGTAACCGTCTACGTCTTGCGTCTCCATTGACTTTTCCCCAACAAGAGGATGACACGGATTTTTGTAGAAATATAAAATATAGCCTGGTGCCTGTTTTCTGTATGTAAGTTGTTTGTTGTTCAACGTCGTACACAGCAATATTTCGGCTACATGATAGCAGCCTGTAAATAATCGAGTCTGGTCCAGACAATCATTACCGACACTGTAAGAAACGATCTAAGCCATCGGATACGATGACACGCTATCAACTAAGTCACAGAGCCTGACCACCCGATCCAATAGGACGCCTCTTATAACCAGCATCGGTTGCTGGGGACAAGTCCTAACACGGAATTACCATTGGGCTTATTCATGTAAACCATCAGCAAGTTGCACCACCTGATATCGCCATCACCTCTATTACCACTCCACTTCTTCCACAACCATCACCACCATCACTAGTTTCATCACAAGCGTCTCAGCGTAATACCTACCTGTACCTTAATGACATCAATTTGTTTCAGGCGGCAGACAGAATCTTTGCAAACCCACTCGATATCATTTAAACCGCGCTCCTTTATACACTGGCGTTGTGTTTCCCCGATACATGATATCAAAACGAATGGTTTCAGGAGAAGCACGCTCATGAAAAGCTTGAGCGTGACTCAAACGAGTTCGTGGAGCAGATGCAGTCAGAATGATGTAATGCAATTTCCCTAAGATTCTCGCTCAACCGACTACTCTTACATCAAAGGCGCCTCTATTCCCTCTCACTGAACGGCACCAAGTCGGGATAGCCCAGCCCGGTCGGCTGTTGTCGTGAAGCAGGGAGAATCATCCATGTTATTCCCTCTGTTTTCAATCATGACCACAGCCACTGCCTTGAAAACCTCCACTCGATTAAATCTACTACTACCACCAACACACTTACCACCACCCATACCGCCCTTAACCACTTCTACACCCTTCCCATCCCCACTACCAGCACCACAACGACAACTATCACTACCACCACTATCATCACTACAATCATCACAACGACAACTATCACTACCACCACTATCATCACTACAATCATCACAACGACAACTATCACTACCACCACTATCATCACTGCAATCATCACAACGACAACTATCACTACCACCACTATCATCACTACAATCACCACAACGACAACTATCACTACCACCACTATCATCACTGCAATCTCTACAACGACAACTATCACTACCACCACTAAAATCATCATAGTGACAACCATCACTACCACCAATACCACTACTGCCATCACCACTGCCATCAACACTACCAGCACCACAATCACAACTTTCACCACTACCACCACTGCAATCAACACTATCAGCATCACAATCACAACTATCACGACTACCGGCACCACAATGACAACTATCACCACTACCAGCACCACAATCACAGCTATCACCACTACCACCACTGAAATCACCACTACTAACACCACAACAACAACTATCACCACTACCAGCACCACAATCACAACTATCACCACTACCACCACTGCAATCACCACTACTAGCACCACAATAACAACTATTACCACTACCAGCACCACAATCACAACTATCACCACTACCACCACTGCAATCACCACTACCAGCACCACAATAACAACTATCACCACTGCCAGCACCACAATCACAACTATCACCACTACCACCACTGCAATCACCACAATCCAGCACCACAATCACAACTATCACTACTACCACCACCACCACAATGACAACCATCACTACCACCACGTTGTTTTATTTGTAAATTCGTAAGAATGCAGGCGATCGGACCAAATTCACAGCATACAATTGGTCCAACCGTGCACAGTAAAACGTGATGTACAGAACAAATTGAAAAATGCAGCACCATTTGAAACAATGAGTTGTACAGGACGGTATTTGAAACCGTACAGCTGTATGCAGCACCAGTTGAATCAATGAGTTATCCAGGACGTTATTTGAAACCGTACAGCTGTGTATAGCTCCAGTTGAAACAATGAGTTGTACAGGACGGTATTTGAAAACGCACAGCTGTGTATAGCACCAGTTGAAACAATGAGTTGTACAGTACGATATTTGAAGCTGCATTTGAATAACAGATGCGTATTGGTTCGCTTAGGACAACATCTGAAGCACCTCACCCGTATACAGCACCAGAGGAGAAATGAGGCAGTTGTGTTACCTTTACATATGGACCGTCCGGTGGAGCAATGAGTCAACACTGTAACCATTGTATAGGACATCTGGCGGAGCAATGAGACAACCGTGATACCACTGCATATAATACCGCCTGTAGCAATGAGAGAACCGCGATACCACTGTACATAATACCACCTGCAGCAATGAGAGAACCATGATACATCTGTACAAAATACCACCTGCAGCAATGAGACAATCGTGATACCACTGCATATAATACCACCTGCAGCAATGAGAGAACCATGATACCACTGCATATAATACCACCTGCTGAAATGAGACAATCGTGATACTACTGTACATAATACCACCTGCAGCAATGAGAGAACCATGATACCACTGCATATAATACCACCTGCAGCAATGAGAGAACCGTGATACCACTGCATATAATACCGCCTGCAACAATGAGACAATCGTGATACCACTGTACATAATACCACCTGCTTCAATGAGACAATCGTGATACCACTGCATATAATACCACCTGTAGCAATGAGAGAACTTTGATACCACTGTATATAATACCACCTGCAGCAATGAGTGAGTGAGTGAGTATGATTTTACGCCGCTTTTAGCAATATTCCAGCAATATCACGGCGGGGGACACCAGAAATGGGCTTCACACATTGCAGCAATGACACAATCGTGATACCACTGCATATAATACCACCTGTTGCAATGAGACAACCGTGATACCACTGTACATAATACCAGCTGTACAAATGCGACAACCATATTCCACTGTATATTATACAGCTATAGCAAGGAGACTACCTTTATACCACTGTATATAATACCAGCTGTAGTAATGACACTACCTTTATACCACTGTATAAACATCAGGTGGAGCAATGCGACAACCGTGATACCAGTGTATATAATACCAGCTGTAGCAATGAGGCTATCATGAGACCATTCGCATATGACATCAGGTGGAGCAGTGAGGCAACCACCCTAAATACATAAACACGAATACTGAAAGCAATGCACAATACAACTGATAACAGGTGAATCACAAGCATTAAGATCATTTAATATAATCAAATCAATAGCTGACAATGTTATAATTTTGCACGTCGATTCCGACACGTGCGATATGGATAATAATGCTGTAAATGTCACCAGCGAGTCGTCTATTACCAAACATATCATTTTGAAATGAGTCACTGTGATGTGACAACAACAGAGATGCCGAGATCACAACATGTACCTTGCGGAAACAATTGTGTCGATCGATGGAAGAAACAGTGGTCATAATGTCATATTTCCAAACAGCCTCTCCACTTGTGTCCTAGAACTTAATGCAAGTATTACTCTCGCAATATATGCACTATAAATATTGATGTCTGTCCCAGCCTGAAGTATTAGTTGTATTATTTACGAGTACTGGAAAGAAAAACTTTAATTTCCCAACAGCCATATTATCTGCATTGCAGTGGCATGGATGTTACCGTTCCCCCGGGACAAATCTCCAACCTTGGAGATGACGGTATGGTACAAATGTCAGGCATTTTCAATTTTATGGAACATATTAGCTGTCAGTCGTATGTTCTTCTCGCACCTAATTACATTTCAAATTTCACCTAGCTCTCAGCTTTCATCTAGAGCTATTGGAATATTCCTAGTTGAAATTGATTACCGTTAAATCGTCCTCCATAACCTCCCCCCTCCCTTCCCCCGGGGACTTTGTGTCCTAAGCATCGTGAAATATTTAATCAATTTTCGCCTATATGTGGAAATTCTTCACAGTTCAGTGAGAGAAGCCGTAGTGAAATTTCTTTAACATAAGTACTCATTTTGTGAAAAAAAGACATTTTGTTATTGATTTCATTGTCTAAATTACCAGCTTTGCACAGAAATGTTTGTTCATAACAGACGCACACAAAACCAGTCAGGGCGAAATCACTTCTTGAGGAATACAAATATATTTTTCCAAATTTGTCCAATACAGTATTTCGGTTCGTAATTTAACAAGAGGGTTTATGTTGTGCTGTGTTGGGCATTCCAGCACATTATACTCCGGATAGGGAATCAGTTTGGTGAACATAAAATATCGATATGCTATTTCTATGCCTTCGTTGCTTGTGTGTTACTTAATTTCCCCGCGACACAAGAGGGATGTTCCAATGCATGCAGAATATGTGATAAAGCTTTATATACATTTAGTATTTTGTAAACATAGAACATATAACTCCATCTAAGAACCCTTATAACAATGGTAGCCTATAATATTTAGGGGACACTATAATAACTAAACACTGGTAGCCTATTATATCTTGGGGCTCCAAGGGGACACTATAGTAACTAAACACTGGTAGCCTATTACATCTGGGGGCTCCAAGGGGACACTATAGTAACTAAACACTGGTAGCCTATTATATCTTGGGGCTCCAAGGGGACACTATCGTAACTAAACACTGGTAGCCTATTACATCTGGGGGCTCCAAGGGGACACTATAGTAACTAAACACTGGTAGCCTTTTACATCTGGGGGCTCCAAGGGGACACTATAGTAACTAAACACTGGTAGCCTATTACATCTGGGGGCTCCAAGGGGACACTATAGTAACTAAACACTGGTAGCCTTTTACATCTGGGGGCTCCAAGGGGACACTATATAGTAACTAAACACTGGTAGCCTTTTACATCTGGGGGCTAAAAGGTGACACTATATAGTAACTAAACACTGGTAGCCTATTACATCTGGGGGCTCCAAGGGGACACTATAGTAACTAAACACTGGTAGCCTATTACATCTGGGGGCTCAAAGGGGACCATATAATAACTAAACACTGGTAGCCTTTTACATCTGGGGGCTCCAAAGGGACCATATAATAACTAAACACTGGTAGCCTTTTACATCTGGGGGCTCAAAGAGGACACTATAATAACTAAATACTGGTAGCCTTTTACATCTGGGGGCTCAATGGGACACTGTAGTAACTAAACACTGGTAGCCTATTACATCTGGGGGCTCCAAGGGGACACTATAGTAACTAAACACTGGTAGCCTTTTACATCTGGGGGCTCCAAGGGGACACTATATAGTAACTAAACACTGGTAGCCTTTTACATCTGGGGGCTAAAAGGTGACACTATATAATAACTAAACACTGGTAGCCTATTACATCTTGGGGCTCCAAGGGGACACTATAGTAACTAAACACTGGTAGCCTATTACATCTGGGGGCTCAAAGGGGACCATATAATAACTAAACACTGGTAGCCTTTTACATCTGGGGGCTCCAAAGGGACCATATAATAACTAAACACTGGTAGCCTTTTACATCTGGGGGCTCAAAGAGGACACTATAATAACTAAATACTGGTAGCCTTTTACATCTGGGGGCTCCAATGGGACACTATAGAAACTAAACACTGGTAGCCTATTACATCTGGGGGCTCCAAGGGGACACTATAGTAACTAAACACTGGTAGTTATTACATCTAGGGGCCCTTTTATAACTGAACAATGGTAGCCTACAACATTTAGGGGCACTATAATAACTTCACAGTAGTAGCCAGCTACTTCTAGGATTACACTATGACATTTAACAAAAGAATTGTAGCCTACCACATCAAGACACACCATAATTACTATACTATAGTACCCTATTACATCTAGGCACACGGTTGCCTTCTCTCAAAACGTGAGTTATCTGACCTTGGCGACCGCTATAAAGAAATAGTATGCGCATATGCCCATCGACGTGAATCGCGCCATAGACTACATCATACGCCAAGATGCCGTCAAAACAGCTATACTGTTGTATTTACGGCAATCGCTGGAAGAAATTTGCTAATGGCCGCAACATCACTATGCACAGGTTCCCTGCAGATTTTCGACCTAAATGACAGCATCAGATCATGCTCGGAATATTTGGACAGCCAGCAGAGACCGATGAATCTTCATCCGTTGCCAAATGTTTTGGGGCTTTTTGCAAACAAGACATTCAAACTTTCGGTAAGTTTGTCAGAGCAATAAATAAAATTTATACCCAGATGTTAGATATTGTTTGCATCATTATTGTTGTTATAAATACATTTTGGGAAGTATGGCAGCCTTATTACTCTCATTATTTCTTATGAATCCTCCAACAATTAGCGTGGCAAAAGGTTTTTCTTTCCTTCATTTCATGTTATTGTTATTATTCTGTTAATCTTCTGAATAAGTGCATACATTTCTAAAAAACATCACAGCTGATGTTTGATTATTTTATCTTCTTCGACATAATGTGTCCGATCTTGTGCCTGTTACCACTTGTGAGACTTGTTTTCGATAAGGTGTTGGGATATCTATTGATCATGCTGGTGAGATTGCTTCGCACATGGAGGATACAAGGCGGTGTGATGTTTCAGCAGAAGATTCACATATGCCTGCAATAATTGCATCAAGACCTGAAAGTTCCCTCAATCATCATGACTATTGTGGTTCTCAAACGTTGACAAATTTCTCTGTTACTG